AAATATTATTTTCTTCTATTTAGAATATTCAATATAACTAAAAAAAAAATATTTTTACGTTAATTGGTTTGAGATTTACGGTTTTGTATACTTCCGATTAATTAACCGGTTCTAAAAATAAACGGTTACCGTTATAGATTTCCCCCTTTATCAAATTCCGTGATTACCGGTAATTGATAACCGCTTCTCAAAATTGAAACTCGAGAACCGGGAAGCGGATACCAGTCCAAAAAGTACTCATGGTAACCGGTTACCGGGAAAAATCGGTTACCGGTTTCAAGCCCTGGTTTAAAATATTTAAAAATGAACTATATGTATTAACACTGTTCAGCTACGTCTAGCGGTATCTATCTGTGCTGGTACGTATTTAATCTGTAAAAGTTGATAACCCCTCCCCCCCAAAAAAAAAAAATCCTGGCTTCTCCACTGTTAATAAACATTGGAATTATCTTAGATATTAGATCCAAGGTAATATAGTTGTAATTATATACTACTGATCAATATAATAATATGTACATGTATTTTATAGCTTATGTAAAAGTCCTTATTCCCTAGTCCTTATGGTTTTAATATAACTGTCGATTGATATATTCATATTATATTATCAAATTTAAACGTCAGAATATTAACTGGGTTTTCAAGTTGGTTTTTTACGAAATTTCATTTTTTTAAGTTAGTGATGACTATTTATGTAAAATATTTCAATTTGAAAATGCTCATAACTCGCATACAATTAAAATACATAGGTAGATATTGAAAATTACCGTCGTATAAACATATATAATATTCATAACATTTTATTAGTAAAGAGGTATAGGTACTTATTATTTCTATGGTATTCTTACTCATTTAAGTTTAAAAATGGGTCAACTCACTCTATTATTAAGGATAAGGCTGTTAGGTTAACACGAAATTGGTTCGGCTAAACGTATATTTGCTAGGTAGTACCCATGTCGTTCGTTGATAGACGGAGTTGTGTGTTAAGTTATGTGACACATACACCCGACACACGTGGATATTGCGTCATCTTAAACAGTTCCAAAAACGTTTATTAAAATGTAAAATGCTTGACTATTATTTTCTCGGTAACAACAAAATATCTCCGATTTTTTTTGAATTGAAAATAATTAATTAAAAGATAATTGTCCATATAGTTTTTCCTAATTTTTATACATATTACTGAGAAAGTAAAAAAACAATCCGTTCAAAGTTTGTAGCATAATATACCTGCCATATGGTAGGGCTTTGGGCTAATAACTTTTTAACTTCCATAATACTTGAAATATTCCACAGAAAAAATATACATACTAGATAGGTACAATAAAACATAATTGTACTATACCAATAAATTCCTCGGTTCACTCAAAAGTCAAAACCATATACGTAAATCAAGATATTATAGAATATAGGAGTTCAGATTCTGAAGAACAATTATTTATAGGTTAAATTTTGGCTTAACCACAACTTAGGGTGCATAACTTCCGAAAGACTTACCCCTATGCAGCATCATTTATTGCCTATTGGAGTAAAAGTAAAACAACAATATAATATACATCATGAAAATCCCACCTGAATACCAGAAGCTGTCATCCTTGGCGCTCCAGAGTTTTTAATTCCTCTTTCTGTTGGCTGCCTATAGCTCCCTCACTCCTTCAGCTTCTTCTTTCAGCGTTAGGATCTCCACGGTTTTCCTGTAGAAGATCTTAAACGTCTCTTCCAATAGTTAGGTACCTAAGTTAACCCCGCTTTAATGATATATTTAATGTTTATCCGTTTATCGAACAATAATGTGTTAAATGCGATTTATTTGCTTGGAAACAGGCCTTAATAATTGTATTTTATTTAATTTCATTACCTTACAAAGAAATTACTCGACTTCACTGACAAATAGCTCACGGTATTAAATATTAAAAATAATAATAATAACAGAAGCATTCAGCGAAACTCAAGCCTTCAACACTAACGGGTTTTTTGAAATCAAAATATAAAATAAACTGTAAACAATCTATACTTCACAACCAAAATTATACATATCGAAAAAAATAAACATAAATTTACATTAAATAATTAAAAGTGAACATGAAAATTCTTAATGAATATAAGCATAATTAACACTTTGCTCAAAATTTAAGGAATACATATTGAAATATTGAATTAAATAAAAATATAAGATATTGCACTAAGGTGAGCTCCAATTAATAAAATTAAACTATTAAACATATACATTGTAATATCATACTGTCATACCCGTAAGTTATAATTTAAAGGAATCGCGGAAAAAAAGCCCACGGAAAAAAAGCCCAAAAAAAAAAATACACTGAGGAAAAAAAGCCCACGGAAAAAAAGCCCAGAAATACAAATATAAATGTGAACAAAATATAATAATATATTATTATATATTATAATGAAAATAATAATTAATTGTTAATTATAATAGTAATAGTCACAGCAGGTCAGTCAATTTTCAACTGTAATAATACAATAATAATATAAATATTTTGTTGGGTATAGTGTGATACTGTAAATTTTGAGATCGGTGTATAATTCTCCAGTACATTTCATTGAACACCTCTGAGAACACCTCCAGGTTATTTTTGATACGCCAATATACTTTACAACATATACATAACCTTTGTAAAAACCTTTGTTACCACCTTTATTTGATTTGATAATCTCCATATTCACAAAAATTGGTAAAACAAAAGTATAAAATATATAACAAATGTATAACTGGATAAAACTGTACTAGTAGGACGTGTAGATAGTATCTCAATAACCAAGTAATGGAGTACTATATGGAGTGTCAATATTACCCAGTTATTGATAAATTTTAACATTTTGACTGGTTATATATATAAATTATATTGGTAAGTACCGAACAATATAAATTAAATTAAATGTAAAAGTGCTTATCAATAGTTGGGTAATAAAAATGCAATTTATTGACAGGTGGTTCATCAGTTCATGGCAGTATCAAACCCTCTATATAATAATATACCTTAATAATATTTCTTAAATTAAAATACATTAAAAATTTTCAATAGTTATATATTATGTATAAGTCATATTTGAAATTTTAATATTTTCTTTTATAAAATTACCTATATATGCCTCTTATACAATTATTTATGATTATTATCTGTTATAGTATAGTAATGTATTATTAATATATTATTATATTTTGTTCACATTTATATTTATATTTTTGGGCTTTTTTTCCTTGGGTTTTTTTTCCGTGGGCTTTTTTTCCGCCTACCAATTTAAAGTTATCAAAATAATCAAAACGTTCACAATTTTTATTAAATATATAAAAAAAACAAAAAATACCTACATCCGAGTAAGTTTTAATTCCGGAATTTTTCAAAACTTATAGTAGTTCTTTTAAAAGAAATGTTATTTATAAATAATTTAATAAAAATATATTAATTTATTCTAACCAAAAGAATAGTTAAAATCACGGTAGATTATAGTATAATAGTATAATCTACCATGGTTAAAAGTATTACAACCATAGATATATAAAACGTGGTACGAGTTTGGTCTCCTTGTTCTAGTCTTCATGATGTAGGTATAAGTATATATTGTGATATTATTGTTTTATAAGCATTGCCTGCTTTATAAATGGCAGCCGACTTCAATGATAAGAAGGAGATGGCTATGTAGCTATTGTTGTATATATCTATGATTTACAACTCATTATTTTAACTTATCTTGGAGTGAGATTTGTATATTAAATAATGGCACATAAGAAAAACCTTAGGTAGGTCACACTTTATTATCACATAGTATAGGACAATTTTTAAACCTAAGCAATCGATAAAAATACAATAATATCTAATGACAGTAATAGTATTAGGTACTTAAAATATAATAGTGATGTAAAATGTAAATGAAAAAAAATTAAATCATACAACAATATATTACGCCAACAATTTTAGAGATATTTTGTATGCCGTAAATATTATAACTTATCGGTGTGATAAGTTAGTTAGCTGAAATTATAAATTGTTTAAGACCTTTGGAATGATTTACCCAATGATTAATGATCACAACTCATATTACAATAATTTTTAAGAACAATCAATAAGAGTCAATACCATATGTGGAAAACGTCTAATACTCAAACAGTTTGAAACGGATAAAAATATGTAAAATATATACCTATTATTATTCAGGTAGGTAAACGTTAAAATAGTGAAGAAAGTAAAAAAACATGGTTGTAAAGAAGTAAAACACTGAAAAACAGTTAGATTTAAATTTAAATTTGTATTCAAACAATCAAACGTAGGTACCTAAAGCCGCGCAGCCGCAGCTCCAACCAAAGAATTGACGTAAAAATAGAAATTGTGTATAAAATTGACACCTTTTAGGCAAATAGTATTGTCTTAATGAATTGCGCCTTTTCGTCCCCGTATATTATAAAGATAGGACATTTAGTCCCCAGGAGTTCATATTATCGCCGTTGTCGTCGTCATCGTCTTTGTCGCCGAACAACTTAAACGAAATTGGTAATATTTTAAAAAAAGTTATTAGTTTTAATAATAACCGACGTTATAAATGAAAGTTTTTAGCTTGGAGCAGGAATCGAAAAAAAATCTAAATTAGAAATTTTATTACAAGTTGTTGATAGGTCATCCCAACATAATTATATAAATTATATTGAAATTGTACGTTTTTTAAAAATAATTGAAATTTTAAATTAAAAAAAGCCATTTAAATGTAGTGATTTAAAATACCGGAGACTAAACGTCCTATGGGTAGGTAAATAACATCACATAACTCCCAGGGGCCAAATGTCCTATCTTAATAATAGACGTGGACGAAACGCCCGTGAACTCGCTTTTTTGACGGGGGCGAAATGTCCTTTTACCCTGTCTGAATAATAATTTTTGGAGCGAAAAGAGCGCTGAGTTCCCTTCCCCCGATCTCAAAATTCATTATACATATTATACTGTCTGTCATTGCTTTTAGTTTATCGAATTTTGACCGAACACAATTATTTAGGAGCAGGAAGCCACCGCGCTCGAAGCCAAAAGCAAAATGGGGTCGATCTCGTGTACGATGCACAAGTTGTTGACAGCCACGATGTCTCCGTAAACCTCTTGCTCGATCAGCACCTTGAAGGGCATCCACGAGATGAGCGCCATGTTGCCATGATCGCTGGGCACCAGGTACCGGACGACATTCACCAACACGGACAGCCAGTCTCCGTGATGAACACTGCTGAACTCGAGGAACACGAACGCGTGGCCGTACCGTGGGTCGGGCCTTACCAAGCCGTACATATTGAACATCTTGGCCACGGCGTATACGTTGGCAACTGATAACTGCGTATACAGCAGATAGCCGATGATGATCAGATCGTCACCGTCCGAAAGGTTCTGCAACGCGTCCACGATGGCCGCCAGGCACCGGTGCTGTAGGGCGGTGTGGTCGGAGGCGTGTTCGTCACAAAAGTCCGTCAGATCACAAACGACAGCGCGTGGACGGTCGAGCTTCACGCGGTAGTGCGACAGCCGGCATTCGGCGTCCACTGCGACGCCGTCACGGACCCGGGGAAACCTGGACAACACTCGGTGCCTGTAGTACATCAGCGCCTCGCTGCAAAACTTGGAATTCTTGACCACGGTCACCGGTTTGCCCATGCGGAACGCTACATCTGGTAGCCGGTATATGAGGTCCGTGTGACTGTACCAGACCACGTCGCTCGCCATGTCCCGTGTTGCCATCCTCAAATCGTGGCACCGGTACACCTCCCGATACAGTACGAGCGCCTCCTGCCCCGCGTCCATGTGCCGTATGCGAGACTTCTCCGTGAACGACATACCACGTGACTTGCGGCCAATTCGTAACAACTCCCAGTTGTGCTTGTGGCTGAAGTTGTTTACTGACAAGAATGTCAGCTCCTGGGTGTACGGAATCGACCGCAGACCGAGCCTGGACATGAACTCCTGGCACATGGACGCCTGTACCGATTTCATCTCACGGTAGAGCGCCTCCCTGCGCGGCAACCCGTCCACGTTGGCATTGATGGTGTGCATCTGCAAGTGCGCAAAGTGCTCGGCACACTCGAGTAGTCGCTGCCTGAACTCGACCGGTACCAGCGACAGAGGAAACATGGAGGCGCCTCTCGGGTCCGACTGTCGGTCGTTCGAGTAGTACGCCTGCACGTAGGGCATGGCCACCGACCGGCCCCTGTAACCCTTGCACACCACGTACACCTCCGAGTTGCCGGGCTTGCTGGTCGCCGGTTTCCTGAGCACTACCGATCGGAACAAGCAGCACAGTAGGAACATCCGGCAGATGGTGTTGCACTCAAACATAGTGAACGCCTTGAGCACCAGCGATCCATTATCCCGGAGCACGCTGAGCGCCACCATTGTCTCGTGATCGTGTAGCCGGGACACGACCGTCTCCTGTTCACCGGGGTCATCCGAACAGTCAATGCTCCCGTCGGCCGTCACTAGCCACGCAGCCTTTCCGCCGAACCGCTCCACCACCGTCCGGTACAGGTGTTCGGCGTACCCGGGTTGGAATATGTCACCCGTGTAGTCCGGACCGAATTCCCAATTCGGGAGCGTGTGCAGCATCAGCCGGTCGTCGGACACGATGTCCGGGTGCCCGTTAGACTCGTGGTACGGATTCAAGGTCATCGCCAGCCAGTCGAGCCGCAGCTCTTCGTGGTTGATGGCTAGGAAATGGTTGAGCGCCGCGATAAACGCACCTGGAGCCTCGCACAGATGCACGCTGGTGAACGATGTACCACCTTCCTCGCGGATCTCGTCCAAAGATACCAGGTTCGAACTGCACGCGATCTCGTAGAACTTGCACCACGCCTGTGTTAGGAAGTCTGGGCGCACGTGCCTCCTCACGTGGTTTACCACTTGGCCCGCCGGATTCATTTTGCCCGTGTGCACGTGCCACGAATCCAGATCAAAATCGTTCAACTTCTGTTTGGTGCGGTTCAGCAACGTTTTCAGTTCTTGGAACTCGTTCAACATCCATTCGGGCTCGGTGTACATGGCGTTATGGTCCGGGAGGGCAAACCCGGGTTTTAGAACGAACATCTTACAAAACTCCTTGTCGTGTACATAGCACACCTCCGACGCTCCTTCTAGGGGAAACATTTTCTTTGAGAGCCGTCCGGCTTGATTGCAGTTTTCACACGAGTAGAAACATTACCGTCGTAACATTTGGTTTTTCTGCTGGTACAGTAATTATTATTTCTACCTGAAATCACGACACAACGGTGTAAAATTAATTGTCCGAAAATTTGCTTCTAAGACATATAATAGATGTACGACAGCACATAGTTAATAGTTATAATATTGATCATTACTCTATGCATAATATGTTATCACATTGTACAAATAAAATCTAGTGTTTTGTCTTTTATACTCAATTATTATTAGAAAATCGAAGCAGTTTTACTGCCCCAAACGGCGATGACAGACACAAAAATTAAAAAAAACTCAAATCATATTTGTAAAATCAATACATTCATCGCTCCGCTCAGAATCTAAAATATGATTTAATAAATCTATAATCAAATATGAATATTAATGTGTAATAAAGTAAAATTTTGTTTATCTAATTTTTCGGTGTAAAAACTTGAATAATGACATAAAAAACTGTCTTCATTGAATAAAAGGTTATTTATGGCTGAACATGAGCATTGGATTGGGAGAGGGGGCTACGAGGGCCCGAGACATGTGCTATGAAAATTAGAGATTATCTCTGTTAATTTCAAATGTATCTTATATAATGTTTATAAAATCTAATGGAAGAATTCATACCAGAAACTTGCATAAGATAATGGCTGGAAAAACATTACTCAGCTAACTATACAGCACTCAATCAAGATGTGTTTAAAAGAAGTAAACACAAAATCGGATACAAGGAACATCTATGTGATATATTTAAAATATATTAAAATATACACTTAATTAATTTTATAAATAAAAAAATATGTTTTTATTTAAAATAGGTACTTATAATATTTAATTGTCTTATTAATAGTGGTATACTGGTATGTTATTATGTTATATACTTATATAAGCGTATATTGGTATAATAGTATACCATGTACATTTTTACGACTACAGAACTTAAGTGGTTTTAATCTAATCCAATGCTTTTAGATTTTTTATACGTTTTAACTATTGTTTAATACAAAAAATGTTTTAGTGTCATGATGTCATCTACTGATAAAACTTATAAACAACACCTGTACTAAGAAATTAATTCTTTAATACAGGTACAATATTATATTTTGCTGTCTTTTGTATGTGATGAAAGAACTAAGAATTTATACCTATTCAGATTTTTAGCTATATTGTAGTGAATATTATTTAATATTAGTTACTTAGAATGATTACAAAAACAAAAACCTAAATGATTAATGAATATTTATCATCCGTTTTAATTATTAACTAGAATTTTTTGAAATTACTATAATATATTATGTACAAATAAAACAGGAACCAAATTAAAAATTTAAAAATCCAAACTATTTCTTACCTAAAGTAAGTACCTATTAATTTTGTATCATTTAAAAGACATGCGTCCAGCACATGGGCATGTACAGAACAATTCCGTAGATTTGATAAAAAGTAATTTTTTAGGAAAATCCTTATACAAAATCAGTTACCTACTTCCTTTACTTCACTATATAAAAAATGCCTAGTTTTGAGTCAATTTAAATTTTAAATACATAAACAAGCTTATGTTCAGGCAACTAAATGGAAAACTACACATAAATATACTAGGAATGTGAATCAAAAATCAATTGTCTGCTGAGAACCTTAAATTGTACATGGGCATTATCATAATCTTTGAATAAAAATTAATGTTCAATTCAATAAATAATAAACATACATATAAGTTAGGTATAAGCATTTCCATTAATTTACTTAAAAGTGTAGTTATGATTGACATAATAGCTAATATAATAAGTAATAACTAATATTTATAGATATATTATGATGTATCTAAATGCTGAGGATTACGTTAACAATATTCATAAATAATAAATTTGATTGTGTTAAGTACATATTATACCTAATTCCATTTAACATAAAAGTGTTTTGCAACATTCAGCATATAAAAAAAAAAATAATATATTATAAGTACCTGTATAAAATGCTATTATTTAAATAACATTGGTTGGTAAGATGGTAGTTTGTTAAAAAAAAAAAAAACCAAAAACAAAAAATTGATAGAATTCTGAAAAACTAAATGGAACTAAAAACTTAAAGTGTAATAATAATTCAACTAATGACTGTCATAAGCCTTACAAAAAAATGTTTATAAATTATGAATTAGATAATGCTCTAAAGGCTACAATGAATTATAGTGATTAATGAATATTATAATGATTATAATAAATTTGATAAAATTATCACCACATGGTGATAAAATATGTATTATGTTTTGATAACTCCAAAACGCACGTGATAGCCTGCTGCGGAAGACAAGTTCATGATACTACGAAAACCCACGATTTAAGATAGTATCTAATTCTAGATAGTATTCTATCTTAAATCGTAATACGAGACACGAGTCACAACTCACAGACTTTGTCTTCTGTAACAGCCAAAGCCAATACTCAATATTGTCTGATTGTCAATTGTCATATCATGTTTATGGGACGATGGCTGATGACATGATGTACGTTCAAGTAACCGTCAATTGAGCCATCGAGGCATTCGTTTAATGCGCAATGGCCAATCGCCAAAGTTCTGTCAATTATCGTCATTCGGACAGATGAATTCAAACTAATTGTTTTGTTATTATCTAACTGGTATTATACATTTAAACATTTATATCATTCAAGTTTTTTTCAATTTTTGGATCTTACGATATCATTATGAACCGAAAACGAAATAGAACGAATGGATTTGAAAAGTGGGTATGTAGAAAAAAATTAAAGTACCTACAGTGGTAAATGGTAATGCAAATCTGTTTAACGATTCATTTTTCAGGGGGGTTACATGGAAGCCAAGAAGACCAAACTTGAAAAACAATTCACAGAAAAAGCTGCTGGTGATAGTAACCATGTAAAAAGTCAAATTTTTAAAGGCATTTCGATCTTTGTCAATGGTTATACTCGTATGTATAATTATAATTATATAAATTATAATAATAAACTAAGTATGATAGTGGTTTGTGTGTAAATCTAGCATTTTAGTCTTAAGGATACAAATAGAACATTGTCTAGATGTCAACCAGGATTAATTTTGTATGGGTTGGTCAAATTAATAAGGTATCTTGCCCATAGGCCATAATGTATTGTCTATTACCAGTGGCGTAGACATTTTCATAAGGGTGGGGGGGAGTAAAAGTTAATTATTTCTTAGATAGATCACAGGGTAGTTCCCCCTATGAATCCTCCATGAATACACCCATGTCTATTACACTTATTTGTCAACATTATCCTAACATAAATGTATAATATAAATATTTATTATTTGTACTGTAGTGTTTGGATTTAAAATAAAGTATTTTCATATAGGTAACTGAATAATAATTATATCTATCATTTAGTATATTTATTTTGATTTTAGATTCTGAACAGAGCAATGAATGAATTATTTTTACAATGATGTTTTTTTTTTTTTTTTGTGTCTGTCATTGCTGTTTCGGGCAGTAACAAAGTTTCGATTTCCTTCAACAGTATCTTGTTTGATGGTTAAGTAAATCTATTTAGTGTATTTGGGAGGTCAAAGTTTTAAATTCTTTATAGTTTTCAGAAGCGCAGGGAAAACTAAATCAAAAGTTAAGGAAAACCGTTAATTTTTAAGCAAAATTGATTTTGGTTTTTGGTGTAATTCTAAAACAAATAACTGTAGATACATCATATTTTCACACTATTTTGATTTGTATTTAGCTGTTAAAATGTTAATGGACATTTTCAATTTTCAATTTTTTTTTTTTTGTTTTTTTTTCTTTATGTCAATAAAATTTTATTTGTTGGGTCAGAAAGCTCGAAAAATTAATACAAGGCCCCTGATACATTGTTACAATAGTAGATGAAAATATTAAAAATACATATTCACAATTTCTTTTTATAAGCATTTAAAGTTCAATTTTTGACAATATTTATCAAATTTATAAAATGTTCAACTTTTATAGCTAAGGATTGAAAATTTAAAACAAGGTTTTATGTAAGTGGGTTATTCAGTAACTAAGAAATCTCAAAAATGTAAGAACACAGTTTTTTTTATAGTTTATTATATTTAAATTTGGACGAAATTACATATTAAATAACCAAGAATAACTATTTTAATAATTTTGTTGTAATTTTATAATATTAAAACAACTTACTGGCTACCGTAACACGGTTATTATACGGTAGTTTTATATAGACGTTGAACCTCCATAAAACGGAATCTTCCCAAAACGAAAACGCATTAGACAGTTTTCACTGTATTTTGTTGCTTAAAATAATTTTATATTTTTGTACATATTGTATTATTATACATGTATATAAGTGAATATAGGTTGATTCAATATTTCAAATCAGTATGTTCACATTTAATTAGTAAGGATTAAACTGATATTAATGGTCAAGCACTCATGAATATTCACCAAGAAATAATTATCGACCCTAAAACAATAATTAATATCTTCGTCTCAAAAAAAATAAAAACACTTAGACTTAATGTTCTAAGTATGTATCTATTTTTATTTTTGTCTTTTTTTATGTATTAATTATATATTTATTATATGAATTATTTATCAGAAATACAGTGTAAACTTAATTTGCTGTCATAATTGGTCATAAAAAAGTAATTATTATTATTATAAACTTGAAAACAGTAAGGGCTGCAGATGTCTTAGATCAATTTTTCTTATTGTCCAATAGGTCTTTTCTATTTGATATTTTATAATTTTTTTTCTAGAATATTAAATGATCATACTTATAAACTTATAAATTTACTTATTTATGGATATGAGAGTTGATATTACATCTTTACCATTTTAAATGTTTTTATTTTTCTCTTGTAATAGATATTAAGAGAACGTTATACTGTAATTTGTTGTCCCCGTCTTACAAGTTTGTAACATACCAAATTTTACGCTCAGTAGATCACGTTTAGCTCCTTTAGTTTAAATATTAGAGGGATTGACCTCTTATACAATTTCAAATATTTATTGTAATTTGATAATAATCTTTCCTTTAAATTTTGTAAGACGTCAATTTACTCTAATTTTTAAACTAATAGAGCTAAACGTCTGATCTGCTGAGCGTAAAATTGTCTATGTTACACACTTGTAAGACAGTGACAACAAACGTTGGTGTAACGTTCTCTTAAACACAATATACTTAAATTATTGTACCTACCTAATATTTATTTATGTGTTTTAGTGCCTTCGGCCAATGAACTGAATCGTATAATGATGGAGAATGGAGGGGTTTACCATAATTACCACAGACCTAACATTACTACACATATAATAGCAAGCAATTTACCCACTGCTAAATTAAAACTACTCAAACAGTTCAAAATTGTAAAACCTGAATGGATATCTGATAGTATAAAAGAAGGAAAACTTTTAAACTATGAAGATTATTTACTTTTTATTGATCAACCAAATCAGCCAAAAATTGATTTCCCAGTCCGTGCAAAAAATGCTTCAGAACCAACGTTTCTATCAGAATTCTACAATAATTCCAGATTGCATTTAATATCAACTATGGCAACGACATTCAAACATTTAGTAAATGATACACGGAAACGGAATCAAACCGATTATCCTGGACGACAACGATTGAAGAAATGGATTGAACAAAATGGAGTTAAAGACATGTTATCGCATGACTCTGAGCTTGACTCGGGTAAAACAGTCATGCACATTGATATGGATTGTTTTTTTGTGTCTGCTGGTTTGGTTGAAAGACCAGAACTTCGAGGTCTGCCTGTAGCCGTTACACATGCCAAAGGAAATTTGTCTAAGAAAAGAGAAGGGGTTGATCTTGGAGCAGAGTTTGGTTTGTATGTTAAACGTTGGAGAGGTGACGATAATGAAAATGGCGAAGAAGATGAAGAAGTACAAGAAATTAAACCTCGATCAACTAAAAGAGATGGTATTAATGAAACAGATTCAATGGCAGAGATTGCGTGTTGTAGCTATGAAGCTAGAAAAGTTGGTATTAAAAACGGTATGCTGGTTGGAAAAGCATTAAAGATGTGTCCAACTCTAAAATTAATACCATATAATTTTGAGCAATACAAAAGAGTAGCTCATACTTTATACTCTCACATAATGAATGAGTAAGTAATATCAAATATTAAACAAAATTATGATTTTTATTTAATATTTAAAGTAATTAAAATTGTAGATTCTAAGTATAATATAAAATATTATATCCTAGATTGATGATCTCTATAGTTGTAATTAAGTATCCCTCAGTACAAAGTACAATTATTATTTATTCCTTATAATTTATAAGTGTTATTCTTCCAAATTTAAATATACCCTAATATCTTGAGCCCTCAGCTCCAAACTGTTTTACTCAAGAGCGATACAAACAAATTAAAAACTGCTGGCTTAAACATTTACAATTTTCTATAAGAAATGCAATGAGCATATTAGTTATCAAGTTTTCAATGTTTGTTATCGCGCACCATTTTTTAGAGAAGACATATTTATATTTTTAAAAATGCATTGTAAATATGTTTAATATCATATGTAGAACAGTAATATTTTGTGCATAGTGGCCTGCAGGCCGTAGTTTGGATGCTCCTAGAGTATAAATTGATTGTTTTTTAAATTAACTAATAATTTATATACAGACAATGAAGAATATCAATTGTCAGTTTTGTGCTCATGTTGTACCTATTTTTTTGATTTTATATGGTATACACTATACAGTTTTATAAATTTCCACATGTTTTTCCAGAAATAATTTTGAAATATAGATTCTTACATTATTCTTTTTACTAACGGTTATAAATTAATTTTAAAAAAGAAAAAATTCTAATACTTAAATTATTTAAATCACAACTTTTATAATAGTTATTTATTTTTACTATTTTACAGTAAATGTAAGTACATAACAATAAACATTTTATTTTACTGTGTAGTTATACATTAGACGTGGAAGCGGTTAGTTGTGATGAATTATATTTAGATTGTTCAAATATTCTGGAAACTACAAAAGCATCGCCTTTTGAATTAGCCACGTTTCTACGAAAAGAAATTAAAGTAAATATTGTTTGATAACATAATCATTTAAAATTTATATTTATCCATTATACTGTTAATTTTTATTTTATAGGAAAAAACCCAGTGCCCGTGTTCTACTGGCATTGGCTCAAATTGTCTGCTCGCCCGGTTAGCCACGAAGAAAGCCAAACCAGATGGTCAATTTTATTTGGAACCTGGTAATATTATGGATTTCATGAGAAACATAGATATATCTGACGTTCCAGGTAATTAAAACAAATACTTGAGTCATTACCAGCACACAGATTTTTATGAAAAATAGGGATATACATTTTTAATAAGTGAATAATAACTGTAGATAATATTATCTTTATCTTGATCAAAAATAAATACCTTTAAGGAGCAATGATATAATTCTAAATGAAATGATACCCATTTAATACGTTTACATTATTTTGATTCAAACTCATGTCTAAATATATTTTAATTTAATACAAATTTAGTTAATGACAATATTATTATAATTATTTATGCACTATGGTTTGTTTTTATTTTTTGAAAAATGTATATCATTTTTCTTTTTATTAAAAACAACTAATTAAATATGCATATATTTTGGCATTTTGTTAGGAACATAAAAATCTGTTCCTTTATAAATTACTTGTTATGTATTTTTGTATGCATAAATAATATTTAACTTAATAAAGGTGTTGGAAGGACCTTGGGACATAAATTGTCAACATTTGGTATCAGTACATGTGGTGAACTAAGTGCACTGTCGCTGCAAACTCTTCAAAGTGAATTTGGAAACAAGACTGGACTTTCGTTGTATAAGTAATTGTTTAAAAATATACTTACATATGTTTTATTTTAAATTGTATGACATGGTATTAAAGTTAGGATGGCCAGAAGCCACGAGAAAGTTCAGTATTTTAAATATGTTTCGGTGTTCCAACAAAAGCTTTGGAACGCTTAATTTTCCTTTTTTTTTAAATATGATGTCCCATTTTCATACTAATTAAAAAATTAGTAAAGTTAGGTTTCAATTAAGAAATGTTATTATGATTTTGTTTGTATTGTGAGGTCATAACCGTGTGCCGTATGGGATTTAGTTATTTTTATCATGGTATATTATATTATTTTTTATTTATAAATAAATAAAATTACATTTCAATTTTTAGGCATTGTCGTGGAGAAGATGATCGAAAACTTAACTATGACTATAAACCAAAGTCAGTGTCTGCTGAAGTGAATTATGGTATTAGGTTTAAAAACAAGGAGGAGTCAGAAAATTTTGTAAGACAATTATGTGATGAGGTTGAAAAACGACTTGATGATATAGAAATGAATGGCAAAACAGTTACCTTAAAATTAATGGTATTTCTAATATAATGGTATAATATTATTCCTGATAAAAAAAAAAAAGCTATTGTATCTATTTTTCAGATTAGAAATGTAGAGGCACCAAAAGAATCCGCAAAATTTTTAGGCCATGGATTTTGTGATAATATTACCAAATCAAATTCTTTAACTAAATCAACATCAAATTCTATAATAATTTTCCAGTAAGTACTAAAATGTAACAAATCTATAGTCTATACTCTATTTAGGATAAAAAAAAAACGTACTCGATGACTGACTTGTGTCCGAGAGTGTGATTTATTATACATAGGGCATACATGTAATGACTAGGTATGGTTGACGTACCAAGGGTCTTGCCTGACCACTGCCGAAAACGGGTCACTGTGCAGTATGGTTTTTATCCCAAATAGAATAATATACTAATTATTGTTATATAAATTAATTTTTGTTTAGAGTTGTCAATAAAATAATGAATCAATTAAATATTGATCCATCTGAATTACGTGGAATAGGAATACAGATGAATAAATTAGAAAGTCGCAATGTAACAGGGGCTGGACGCATAGAACATTTTATATCAAACATGAAATCTGATACAAAAAGAAATAATATTCCTCCTAATGAAAATACTGACAATGATAAAATAATATCAACTAAAGTGTCTGAACCCAGAAGCCTCCAGAGTTCATCGACAGACGGTTGTAATAAACCAAAATCTGTTATAGATTTTTTTAAGCCCAAAGAAGAATTAAATTCTAGAAAACATATTAAGACTTCAAACTCCAAATCTAATATCCCTCATGAGTCACTTGTTAATATAAGAATGTCCCAAGTAGATCCATCATTTCTAGACGCATTGCCCACAGATTTACGTCGAGAAATAGAAAACGAATTGAAAGCTAATAAAAACCAAAATTCTCTATTCGATGAAAATGAAAATTCATCCACAATGGAAGTCACAATGACAGAAGAAAGCTCAAAGTTATATCAACATGTGCAAATTGATCAGATGAAAGAATTTATTGAAGAATGGGTAGTCACTGAGAATGAACCAAAAACATGTGACAATATTATGGTTTCAAAATACTTGTGTAATTTAGTTAGAGACACCAAGACAGAAGATGCTTATGAAATTATAAGAAAACTTTACCGGTAAATTATAAAATTAATTTAACCCACATAATTAATTAATAAACTGTGATTTTATGTTATAGATTAATAAAAAATAAGGACCATTTAGCTTGGAAACAAAGTTACTTTGATGTATTGAAAGATGTTCAAGAAACAATGTTGAATTTGTACAACGCTAAAATGAAAGTTGAAACTACATTTACATAATTCCATTTTATAATTAATTTTGATTTTTGAGATTGGATAGTAAAAAATAAAAAAATAATGTACAGCCAAAATCTGTATTATACCAATGATGTCTTACATTAATTTTATACAATAATTTCAAAATTTCAATTTTTTTAGTTTTTATACAAAACTTCTGATATATTGTTACAATAGCAGTTGAAAAATATAAAAAATACTTATACGTATTACTATATTGACGCACTGTTTACTATGGACTCTTGTGGGCCAGAGTATAGATAGTATATTAATATAATTGTAATAAATATAAAGTCATAGATAAGATATAAAATATTCCAAATGTTGAAGTATAATTTAGTTCACAATTTTTATTTACAAACATCAAAGTATAAAACAACTTTGTAATTTTATGTCAAACATTAGGGTTGATTCAACTCTTCGTTAGGTAGAATAATAGTTGACTAATTTTTCTCCTGCAAATCTCTCTAGATGGTCCCTTGTGACTACTGAAGGGTGCTAGCTGAGATTATTAAGGAAAAATATTGAAATTTAGCCATTGGGAGACATATTTTATTTCATTTTTACGGGCTTAGCCCTCTTAAACATTACAATATATATTTTTGATAAGAGAAATTTTTACAATAAAGAGTGAAGAAAAAAATTTAATTTAATCTATACAGCTTACATTAATACAGAATACATTTATCTGTTGACAATAACTTATGTTGAAAATATATACATTAATAATTTAGGAAATCGTCGAAGTAAGGGTCTGTATTGGCAAACGACAATATGCGTCTTAAAATCTCATTAGCCATATAGTTGGTGGTGGCGTGCGGGACATAGAAGAGGGCCTTTGAGCGGGATGGAACTTTAAAGGAGATTTGAGAGTAAAGAACTGGAGAATCTATATTATTGTTTAAAAGACCCCCCCCCAAGGAATTTAATACCTGCGACACGGCGACGTTCGGCCAAGGAGGCCATACCTAGATAAATAGCAAACGGTGTAGTTATGAGCGACAGATGACTCCCTTGAGGGACACCCGACGAAGCTAAGAACAAATTAGACTTAACATCAATGATTTTAACCCATTGATACTTTTTACTAAGAAAGGATCTAAGCTAAAACAGAAGAGGAGGGCCAAAACCCGATTCTTTGATAATATGTATGAGTACATTATGATTGACTGAATCGAAGCTTTCTTCTGTCAAAATTCAATTACAATTATAAAATGCAGACATTTCCTTAAAAAATACTTGTTTTTCTTAAGATTTCCTAGAGTCAACTGAGTAAATCAACATTTCTTCACCAACTAGATTTGATTTTAGGACTATAATAATGCTACAATAAATTGATCATATCTACCAAAATGAGATGGTTATAATAAAATCCTTCATTGTAAAATGAATATATTTCTTATTTCTCTCAGAACGGAAAACCACAATTATCAAGATCAACCTTTTAAAATAAAAAGTTCATAAATAATCAAGCAAATTAAACATGTTAATTTATTTAAGAAACTTTTATTATTTAGTTTTTTTCTATGATGTTATGTGAATACAGATAACAAATTATTGCTATAACATTTGCATCATTCCATAGTATAAGAATGTATATTTTATACAGCTGCTCATGGCTAATATATATATATATATATATATATATATATATATATATATTTATTTTTAAAATTAAAACAAAAAAAAATGCATAGCACACAATATCATCTATCATATAAATCTGTAAATTATACAATAGTTTCTACATTTTGTTAAAATTTGCTTAGGTTCCAATATCAAATACATGTTATGTTATGTTTTTGTACATATATGTAATTAACTAATATATTTCACAGAAAAATAATATGTACAATAACAAAATGGTAAAAAATGAAAGCATATATTTTATAAATGAATTTTTATTCAATAATTACACAATTTTAAAACATTAACAAAGAGAGATAAAACTGATTTAAATCCTTCATTGGCAAATAAAAATATATATATTAAACATATACACATATATACCAATACATTAAACTAAATATAGTTAGCATAACATAGCAAACTAATTAGATGTTGGTGATACAGTTTTAAAGTGGAGAATTGATTTTGTACAAAAGGCTCTTACTATTTCCATTTAGCTTTACATATTAATCAACAGTTCAATTGGGTTATTATTGGACAATTTAAATAATATTCAAAGGATCTATTTTGTGTTAATAAAAACTTAGTGTATAAACAACAACCAAGACCATTACTGTCTCCTCAAAAAATAAACATAGCTCAACATAGTTAAATCATTAAAATTGTAAGACAATTTGATTTTTGAAAACTTATTAGAAAAATAACTCTTTACTTTTGGTTTTTAACTGCTGATAATCACCAATGAGCAATTTTATTTCATTATTTCATTTTAAGGTAATGAAACTTACGTTCCTTAAGATGTTTTCAAAATCTCATTCATTTATAGAAACAAATTTTTATTCCCATTCTGTAGTACCAGGTGGTTTTGGCGTGAGGTCATATAATACTCGAGATATACCAGGTAGTTTTTGAGCAGCAGCCATCATTTTATGTACAAGCTAAAAACAAATATATTTTTAAATAAAAATTTTACTTTGTATAGGTACTAAAATATAATTTTTATCTACTAACTGCAGCGGATATATGCTTTCCCGGTAGAGCAGGAATACCAGTCATAAAATCTTCTGTAATAAATGGTCTGATGACAACTGAACGTTGACATGATGGATGACGATAAGCAATATCTCGATCAAAGTGTAAAGGTACAAGTACTACCGGCATCTGACTTACTTTGCGCATACTAATTGGACATTCTGTTAAAACCTGAAACCCGAAGAGATTGTAATCATAAAAAAATATTTAACATACAGCTTCTTACTTTATTAATAACATGATCAGCTTGTTTCAGCAAATCTATCACTTGAACATTTAGATATGTGTGTGTTATATCCAATACTTGGTAAACCACAGGTGAACCAGCAATGTAACATACCCTGTTGACATTGTGACATACTCTAGGAATTATTCTGGCCAAATAAGAAAGGTCTTCCCACACGGGTTCAGGGTCTGTACAAGAAATGCCTACCACATAACTGTAAGAACGTTTATCACCCTACAACACAAAAAATAATAATTCTTTAGTTATAATAGGTTGTTTATGTATGTATATTTACATACTTGAACTCCTACACTTTTAATAGGTAATAGCGTGGCAGACATTTTCTGTTTGGATGATATTTCTCGCAACAACTCTCGTTCATTTTCAGAGGTTGCATTTTCTATTCTATTTAAAAGTGCATGACTCTGAAAATAAGTATACAATGATGATTATTAATATTTGACATTGAAGAAAATGTAAATTATATATATAATAAGAATCTAACTATTTGTTAAATTTACAATTGTAAATACTAAATATGTAATATGTAGATATTATAATATTATAATATCATAATATATACCCGTGGTCAAGGGCCAATATCAAATAAAATGTTTCCTTTATGGTTTTTACTTTTTAATGTTTTTATAATATACTAGCTGATCCCGTGCACTTCGTTGCCCATTAAAAATACCAACTCTATATGAATAAAATGTTTTATTTTATAATATAACGGTTACCATAACAGCAATTTTAAACCAATTATTATTATAATTATAGCTTTGAAACCCGCGGTGACCATATATAAACAAAAATCTCAAAATCCCTGTTTGAGCACGTCCCGGTGTTGGTCCTCTCCCCTTTTAAATTAGCTTATCTTCTGCCCAGAGATCTAACATGTCTATATGTATAAAAATATTTGATCCCGAGCACTACGTTGCCCATTAAAATTGACAACTCTATATGAATAATATGTTTTACATAAAACAATATAAAAGGTTGCCATGGTAATGTGGACACACACGGACTATATATATAAAATATCTGATCCCATGCACTTCGTTGTCCATTAAAGACCTATAATTATGATTATAATAGCTACAACACTCATGGTAACCATGGTACCTTTGGTAACCATGGTAACTATGGATCATGGTAACCTTAATAACCATGAAACCTTAGTAACCTTAGTAACCATGGCAACCTTGGTAACCATGGTAACATGGACACACAGACACACACACTGACATACATTCATTTTTATATATATAGATTTTGGAACAAATGTAGGTTAGTTCCACTTCTATATTTTGATTTTTTTGTTTACTGTAACCAATACAAGTCTAAGACTTAATAATGATGGTCCAATCCAGAATTTGTTGTTCAGACTTACTTTCAAGATTACAGTTATTTGAGTTTCACTAATATAGCATTTATTACGTGTACGGCGGCAGAGTACTATACATAAATGTTTTATTTTTAAAGTATACAAATACCGCAAATTCTAAATTTATCTAACCTAAATTATAAATGGCAAAACTGTGTATACAATATATATATACATATATATTAAGTCAAAGTATAATAAGTAGTGACTCCCTACGTTTACCAACCCCTGTCGCCAAACTTGGACCTATGAACCAAATTTTTAATATACTAACTTTTTCAGCATCTAAAAGTACACATATTTAGTACAAAAATTGGTATTACACCTAGTTGTCTACTGGGCATTTACGCACAGTTTCAAGACCATGAGCGTAGTGAAAAGTACAGTGGTGAAATTCAAGTGTCTATAACTTCAAAACTAAGTCTGAGTAGCAACTTCTGATTGCAGTTGAGTTACATCAGTCGAATAAAAAAAAAATTCAAAACAGCGAGGGGGGACTAAACTGCAAATATACCTATTTTTTTTAAATTTAATTGAATTACCAATAAGAAAAAAAACAATTTACAAACAAGTTAAATTGACTGTTCTTGTATCACTTAATATATATATATATATATATAAATACACACACACAAATAATATACCTTTAAAACCATATCATTGTATTCAACAACAATTTTAACTACAACTTGTGTTTCAGAAAAGTCTTTATCAATAAAAGGTTCTTCTCCACATAATATTCTGATGGCAAGACCCGGTCCAGGGAATGGATGTCTATATACAATACTTTCGCTCAATCCTAAATCCATTCCTAATCTCCTAACCTAAAAAAACATAAACAATTATCAATAAAATAGGTAAAACATTAAGGGGGTTCGAGGAGGTGATTTATAAGGGGTCGTGTATAGGCAATCTGATGTCTTATAGTCGTTTCGCAGTGTGTTTATGTGCGAAGTAAATTATCATTAGTGTGCGTAGATACGTTCAGAATCAGTGGTTCGCACGCGCACGCACATGTCACATAATAAAATATTTGTTCCAACGAGAAACTAATTTCAATCAATTGAGACATAAAAGCCTGACAAAAATACGATAACTTAGAATGATCGGATTTTAGTTCTTTAACACATTCACTGCGTCAAATAATTAGTTGGGACACGTTAGATGCATCACAAAATATATCAATGTTCGCTAGGAGCGTGCCACCAATTCGGACATTTTAATTAGTGTCGGAAAAATCAACAAAATAAGTTATTTATAAATGGATTGGACTGAAATAACGAAAAAATTTCTATGCAGAGGCGTGTGTAAAAAAAAACATTACTCTAGTGCGTCTCTATTTTATAGCACATTTAATTCAATGGACTTGATGTCGGCTATATCCGACAGGCGCACCGTTTACATACCTACAAGTCGGCTATATCCGACAGACGCACCGTAAAAAAACTGATCCGTCGGATATAGCTGACAAACGCACCGAATGTGGTAAACATATTTGAATTCATCATTCTTTTTTCTAGATTATTGTGGGAGTCGATTTTTGAATAACTGTTTACCTTTTTAAAGAAAGACACAAACAATTTTCAAAAAATTGAAAAATCGAAATATAATTTAACCTGAATTCTAAAAAAAATATCGAAAATTGATTCCCACAATAACCTAGGAAAACTGTCAATGAACTCGAATCTTTTTACAGAATTGAAATCTGATAATTCTAGGCTTTTAGGTCTAAATCATGAAATAAATACGCTGCTTCGAATCCCCTTAATTTAAAATCATCTTAAATAAAACATAATAATATGAACTTACCTCATCTTTGTGAAATTCTTGTAAGGGTTCAATGACACGTCCTTTATCTCGTAATTCACGTATTAACTTGCTATCGTTATGATGTGTTTTTATAGTATCTGCATTAGTACTAGCTAAACTTGAAGCAGACTCAATTAAGTCTGGTCTTAAAGTTCCTTGAGCCAAGAACACATCTTCAGAAGACAAATTTAATGTTTTAAGGAACTTATCAGCAGTCTAATGAAAACATGAATAAATATTAATTTGAATCATCGTATAAATATATTAATTAATACCTTGACAAAAACATCACCAATTATTTTTCTCTTTTCTTCTGGATTACTAGTTTGACACAGGGGAGGAGAAATTCTAGTACGATTGGATACATGCAAATCAGGCAATATAGTTGTACCATTTTTAAAATCAAATGTGGCATTTACAGCTAAAACACAAATTTTATATAGTTACAGTAAAGAGAATAACCTTATTTTATATTTATTTTACATACCTTTAACATCTAACCCTAGAGCATTCAAAGACTTCATTACTTGTTCACTCTCACCCAAGCGCATAAAGCCATTATCTATGTGCACAGCAATCACTTGTTCTCGATCTAATGCACGGTGTAAAAGTGCAGCACATACTGTAGAATCAACACCACCACTTAATAGTACCAAAACTTTACTCTGGCCAACTTGATCTCTTATGTATTTAATACATTCCTGTTCGCGACTTTTTACTGTATAGCTTCCCGCTAATCCAACCACATCATAAAGAAACGACTTAAGCATTTGAGTTCCGTGTTCTGTTAAGTTCACCTAAAATATATATATGAAAAAAAAAAAAAAAGCAAAAATGTAATTAATTTAATTTTCATAAATAAATAAATTACATATAAGTGTGACTAACCTCAGGATGAAATTGAAGACCATACATTTTTTTTGTATCATTGCCAATACCAGCAACCATATTGTTGGATGTAGCTATCACATTAAAGTTGTCTGCAACTTTGACAACATGATCGCCGTGAGTAAGTAGAACACTTTGTTTGTTGCTCAATGATCTACAAGATTAAAATAAATCAAAATGTGAACTATGTTGTTCTCATTATGAACTTACTTAAATAATAAACATCGACTATCTACATCAATATTATAAATACCATCTTCACGACCAATAGTTGCAGCGACATGGCCACCAAATTCTTTATTTAGCATTTGCATGCCATAACAAATCCCTAAAATATAAAATAAATATTAGCTTCAAAGTTATTTTTAAATGAACACCGAGTCTTACCTAAAATTGGTAATCCTATTCTAAATATGTCTGCATCATATATTGGTGCGTCTATAGCATTAACTGAATTAGGACCTCCAGAAATTATAATTGCTCTAAAATTAAAATTAAAATATTTAATATTTTTGAGAACTCTGAATTTAAAATAGGAAACTTACCTATATCCTTTTTCTTTTAGTGTTATTGCTGAAGTATGTAATGGCAACATATCACTTTCAACATTTAATTCTCTGACTTTGCGATCAATTACCTTGCCATATTGAGCACCTGCATCCAAAATGGCAATTTTTTCAGTTGCTACATTGTTTTCAACTGATACATCCATTGGATCCATTATACTGTTTCCGTTTTCTTGACTACCAAAAAAATATGCAACAATTAATTAATTATTAATTACATTTTTAAATAAATAGTAATAAGTAATTATTATAAATGTATAAGTAAAAGATGAATACAAAAAATAATTGAATAGAATATTTTAGAATAAACCTGTAGACTGTAAGTACCTGTAATATACAGAGCGATCATTTTTAAGCAATTATCAAGGGTTTCTAAATATACCTATATATATAAAAATAAAATAGGTACAATTTTTTTAGTTGTTTAAAAAATGTACAGCACAAATCATAAGGAAATTATGGTTTACTAGTTGAAAATCAAAATTTGTTGCACATTTAGGTTTTAAATAGGTAGGTAGATTATTATTGTAAAGCAAAAAGTTAATAAAAATTATTTTTCTGTTTTTTAAGAGGACGTGATACCCGCATGTGTTCTCTCCGTCTTACAAGTGCGCAAAATAGCAAATTCTAAGCAAAGCAGAACACGTGTAGCTCCGTTAGTTTAAAAATTAGAGTGAATTGACTTCTTATAAAATCTAAAGGTAAGATTATTATCTAGACAACCTCATGGGCTTTTTATTATATTTTAATTTCATAGCGAGCTATGAGTATTTTAAAATTGTAAATTGTTTATAGATCTTAAATACTCATAACCAGCTTAAAAATTAAAATATTATAAAAAGCCCATGAGGTTGTCTAGATAATAATCTCACCTTAAGATTTTATAAGAGATTAATTTACTCTAATTTTTACATTAACGGAGCTACAAGTGTTTTGCTGAGCGTACAATTTGTTATGTGATGCACTTGTAAGACAGCACATGAGATCACGTCCACTTTAAGTTATTAAACAATTAACATCAGACATCACTTTGTATATTGAAAAATTTTAATGATTAAATATTAAGAATAATTATTAATTATACTTTTTAAGAATGTAACAAGAAGCAAATGTAATGTAAGTTTTAGAATACAGTACAAACAAACATTACTAGATACAGGCAAGTTATACCATACATGAAGTGTTCTTAAAAAGCATACAAGCCCAAAACCAAAAGTATACCTACTGTACCTAATGATTTTGTAAAATTGTAATAATGAATTTAGGTTAGGTATTTACAACTTACTATCTTAACTGAGGTGTCGGACTGGAAGGTTTGTACCGTTTAATCGGGTTCTCATCGATTTTTGTGGCCATGTACCAGATTGCGGATTCATGCGTTTATTTCAATAACATTAATTGAACGACCGGTCAAGGTAAGAGCGACAAACTTTTATTTTTATTCAATCTGCAGGAGGATGGTATAATATCAAGCTCAAGAATATATCAAATGTATAGAATAACTAACTGATTAAATAAAATAATAGACTGTAATTCTATTTGACATACATAACTAAATTTAAATATTAATTATATAATTGCTTTATTTCAATTTCATAATCAATGCAATACCTATATTCCTATATTTAAATTTTCATAAAAATGTTTAAATAAAAAAGGTCAATTGTTTTAATTTGTTTCAAGATAAATTTCTGATTGATAAGACTACTAAATTTGCATATCATCTATCAGTTTAAATATATTAATACATTAGTTAATAATGTGATATGGGTATGTATTATATTTACTGCAAACTATTTAAATGAAAATTGAAAATTTTAACCTAGAAACTATCAATTAAAAGTGACTCGTGTATTTCATATTTTGTAATTTAATTAAAATAACTATAATGCTAGGTAATGCATCTTAAACCAACAAAGAGGGTATAGGTACTATATTGATTTGAAGAATATTAAATTGTTAATTATTTTCATCAAACCAACTTTAAACTACCTATTATTATTTTTTAATTATTAAAAATAAAACATAGTCAACATGTCAAGTGATAATATTTAAAGGCTAGTTTTAAATAAGTAGCTAATCATTATTTTAGTATATAATATCCAATGCAATATTTGGTTCATAAAATAAATTTGATGTCTAATAGTAGATAAAAACTTAATCCAGAATATTTGAGAGGCTATAATATTTAAATTTGATGTAAGTATTGGATAAAAAATCAATATGGATGATGATCTAAAAATAATAGTTTATTTTATTAAAATTTAAAATAGCATAGGTACTATAAATAAATTATATTAAAAAAAAATATGATTTATAGGTAGGCAATTTTGATTAATTGTTGATGAAATATATTTTACCCACCTACATTAAATGAATAGTCAAATTAGGTTATGTTTCTGTCATCTTGCTGAGAAATTATGAGTACCTAATTTTAGAATTCATAATAAGACCTCAATTAGAAATTTTTTTTAGCCAATTTCCTAATCTTTAAATTTGTATATATAATGATAAGTAGGTAACCTTTACTATTTTTGGTATACGTTAAAATGATTTTAAATTTATCCTGAATTTTTAGAATGCACAAACTTTTATAAACAGTTTACTAACTAATAGACAAGCCTTAATAGGTTCCTACATTAATACAACTGTAAATTGAATAAGTGGAAAAACAATTATAAATTCTGTGTTCTACCTTAAGTAGGTAATACATTTCTAACTTCTAAATAAAAAAATAATATTATCTAAATAGTAAATACACATTTTATAAAATATAACATATAGAATTAAAATAATGTACCAAATAGAGATCATAAAAGTGGATACCTTAATATTGTTCACAGAAAGTTCATAATAAACAAACCACTACTTGGGATAAATTAAGTTAAATGGCAAAATAAAATAATAAAATAACTGGACAATAACTATGAATACTATATACTAGTAATATATTTACTAGTTAATGTGTCGATGTAAAATTATGATTCAATTTTAACCAATGCATTTGATAACAAGGATTAAAATGAAATATCAATCATATGGAACACAAGTTAGTAGTAAAAAGTAGCATATAATATTATTTTCACGGTCAAATCATGAATCATGTAACATGCAAAATATAAAGGGTATGATAAAAACAAAGCAAACAAAATCAAGTCTAACAGATTAATGGTTCTATGCGGGGAAGATGAAACGAGCAAAAACAAATGATCAAAGGCACACGCCGTCTGAGAGTTTGAGAGATCAGTCGAGGGGAGCGAGTCAAACAACTTTCAAAGGAATAATATAAATATAAAAAAATATGGCACGTATGTATTATTGCTTAGCCATTAAACCAACCATGGAACTTACTCTTTTCGGTCTTCCCGTGAGATTTTAATCGGATACGGGTATATCGAATTTTTAAGTATTTTATATATAGGTTCATAAAATATATAATATTATGTATTATTATAAATTTCTCTATTTAAACATAAGCATCCACACACTTAAATATGATAATATTATATACTTAAACTATATCATACATACATACATATATATATATGTGTATATATATATATATATATGTATGTATGTATTAAACCGACAGAATAACGTGTTTTCAATATATTTTATTTTTACCGCTTGATAATGATTAATTCACGCCGAAGACATGGTCGAACGAGACGGCGGTGTGTTCGATACGAATTACTTAATACCGTACGACGGTCAACGTAGCAAGTAGATTCGGTCGTCAAACGAGCGGACGGACAGACGGGCGGCGCAGTCGTTGCTATCGACGAGCGTGCGTTACTTCACGGTGTTCGGTCGGCGGACGCGGAAAATTTATCATCAAAACGCGTTAGCGGTGACAGACGGAGCAAAAACAACCGATCACTGTACAGTTTATTTTGCACTACTCTCTCTTTCCGCTCTTAGTACCAATGTTGCCAACCGACCACCGGGTAGTCGTCGGTGGAAACCGGCCGTTTTCCCCACTTCCCGCCTATCAACCGATGGTACCAGAAATCTAATACTACGCGGCGTTTTGCGGCTTTTTTCCGACTTGACGAAATCCGATACGAGCGAACCGCGGCGGGGCTTCACGAAGTCCGAAGTCGTACGGTTTTAATGGAATTTACACCGAACACTCAAAGGTCAAATCTGACGCGTTCACATGCACACGTCATAAACAATAAATACATGATAATTATTTCAATAATTAATGGCTGTCTAATATATATTCTTTAGGCGCATACACCTAATATAAGCCACATTATGGACGACCTACAGCATATCGCCATATCGTTACGTAGTAATTACGTACGACATTTGTACAAGGCAACTGTCAAGGTATTTATAATACATTTTACAACATGTATAAATGTATTACGTATTTATGTATAGCTACCGTGGACCATGGTACAAACTATAAAAATTAAAAGTTAAAAAGTATATAACTGAACAAATATATACTTCAATATACGATGTGCTTGAATAGTGAATACTTTAAATTGTAATCAGCGGCGGCAGGTTTCCACTTTCCATTCGGTAATCAGCAGGAAATTATTCTTGGCATTTGGTAGCACCGGACCGCCGTCGCAGTGTGAGTAAAATGTTATTCTGTCGTGGTAACAACAGCTGTTCTATGGTAACATGGTCGATGGCAGAGTTGTAACTTGTAGTAGAACACTAGCACAGAAGTAGTTGTAGTCGACACTCGACAGTCCGTACTACTTGTTCCATGGTGCTACCCATATAGTATTTATATGGTCGAAGGTATAGGTATATACTACCACATATAGGTACCACAGACCACAGTACTACTCACTATTTAAGATATAGGTATATCTTAAATCGTGGTACTACTATGGCGATTGTCGGTAGCTAACACATATCAGTTAGTACCACGGACTAAGATATACAGGACTGGACACGACAAGGTTGGAGGGTGTGGGGGGGTTGACTACGAAATGTTTTACAACAGGCAGTGTTCGGGGGGATATTTTCCTTTTAGCATTACTAGCGCCGTCCTAGTGGATACTTATGGAACTAGAACACATCATACAAATGTCTAGTTCCATAAGTATCCACTAAGACGGCGCTAGTAATGCTAAAAGGAAAATATCCCCCCGAACTCCGCCTGTTGTAAAACATTTCGTAACCACAATATTCATCTCGTGTCCAGTCCTGTATAATATCTTAGTCCGTGGTTAGTACTTAGTTATCACTTATCTGACAATCTGATGAGTAGTGTACTAGTGACGAGTAGTCTATACCACGGACTAAGATATACAGGACTGGACACGAGATGAATATTGTGGTTACGAAATGTTTTACAACAGGCGGAGTTCGGGGGGATATTTTCCTTTTAGCATTACTAGCGCCGTCTTAGTGGATACTTATGGAACTAGAAATTTGTATGATGTGTTTTAGTTCCATAAGTATCCACTAGGACGGCGCTAGTAATGCTAAAAGGAAAATATCCCCCCGAACACTGCCTGTTGTAAAACATTTCGTAGTCAACCCCCCCACACCCTCCAACCTTGTCGTGTCCAGTCCTGTATATCTTAGTCCGTGGTACTAACTGATATGTGTTAGCTACCGACAATCGCCATAGTAGTACCACGATTTAAGATATACCTATATCTTAAATAGTGAGTAGTACTGTGGTCTGTGGTACCTATATGTGGTAGTATATACCTATACCTTCGACCATATAAATACTATATGGGTAGCACCATGGAACAAGTAGTACGGACTGTCGAGTGTCGACTACAACTACTTCTGGCGCTAAAATGAAAATATCCCCCCGAACACTGCCTGTTGTAAAACATTTCGTAGTCAACCCCCCACACCCTCCAACCTTGTCGTGTCCAGTCCTGTATATCTTAGTCCGTGGTCTATACTCTATAATAGACCCAAGGTGGATTGATATCAATCCACCTTGTAAATTAATGGACAGCGCTTAGAGAGAGAGGTCAGGGGTACGATATACACTATACAGTATTAGTTTCATTAGATTTTCCCCATTATGTTTTTTCTATCTTTCTCTTATATGATTCCCCCAATATGTTCTTTCTCACTCACTCGATATTGGCGCCACTCAGTGATGGCTAGGCGGTGAGAGAGGCACAGTCCATTAGTTTATAGGTCTATGGTAGCATAGAATAGTATGGTAGTTACCATGAACATATTATATACTGTTAGATTATAATCATGAGTAGTAAGGTCGACCCGAAAACTGTTATATATACTGATCTATGGGATGACCTGTAGACTGTCTGTAATAGAGTATTTTTTTAATTACTAATATTATATTATACTCTATGGGATAACCTCAATTCTCGAGTCTCGAGTTGAGTGTTGGGTTA